TTATGAAATTTTCACCAATTCTTAGGGTCAAGAAGCGGACGCTGCCCACGAACGCGGACGCAAAATGTCCCAAATTTCTGGTTATGTAGGATTTAGAGCTATGTAAACTATGCAGTTTCTGGATTCAGATTTTGGCACATATGCCATGTTGACCGCCATGGTCATTTTACCCTAAAACAGTTGAGATAATCTGTCCTAAATGAAATGCATACAAACTCCTTTACAGGTCCTAGACCATTATGATTTTTGGCACTTCACTCGATGCAGGTAAATTCTAGAGGTTCAAAGGGTCTTAATTTCGAGTGGAATTTACAAACTTCCAATTCAAGCCAGTAACAGTTGAAGTTCGAAAATCAGAATTGATTTACCCTCACCTATGCCCGACATTACCATCATAATTATACACTTTAGCCACAGTTGCTTTTGTCAGCTACCTCTGTAGCTCAGTCGCAAGAGCATTGCACCGCCATTGCAAAAGCGTAGGTTCGATACTTCGATTCCTTCCAAGGGCAAACAGTTGACTCATTTTTCCTTAAACTGTTCCCGACTTGAATTTGATGTGTATATAATTCTACTCGAAATTAAGCCCCATTGGACCTCTATATGTTTATGTGATGCAAGCCATATAGCGTAAATAAGAGTAAACAGTTGGTGATGCCGCTTAGTCTACCTCCTGTGATATACCCTAGGGTTCGGTTTCTTTATTTTTCTAAAACTATTACACGTCCCTTAATATGACATAACTGTAAAGATCGTATGACATCAAGTATTAATATCAGAATACAGGACATGACGTAAATAAGTCATGCACTTTGATTACAAGCTGAAATGATCGATCAGAGCAGGACAGCCGATAAGAGTGAAGAAATTTTTTGAATACACCAATGAAATTTCTAGCCCCAGATCACTCTAGCGATCCGAAATCCACACAAAGCGATCAAAACGTTAAATAGCCAATCAGATCGCTGGAATGGTGTGAAGGAGCGAGCAAAACTCATGTGTAAGACCTCTCTCTGCGTATTCGTGTTCGAAGGCCTTAGTCTGGATGATATTTTGAAAAGTGGACTTTGAACTTCGTTTGACGCGGTGCACTGCAGGATGTTTCACAACTGGACTGTTTTACTTTCCAATTAATTTTTTAGGCATTTATTTTAGGAAGACGCGTGATCGCTCTGATCACCCCTAGATCCGCCCCTGTACATTGGAAAACCCTAGATCCGCCCATTGAAAATAAGTTGTCACCTAATAACGATGAATTCAGTTTTATTATACTTCATCAAGAAAACGGTTGCAGCCAATGTTCCATTAATTTCAAATAATCAATCAGCTAATGTCCAATTCAATGTCGATCAAAAATCACTCTACGAAATTGATGTATTTCATCGCGTTTGGGAACACATTTACGCGTCTCTTTAAGCTTCTAAAATGCGATGTAAATAAAGCTAGAGTGTTTATGAACCAACACTGACGGGGACATTTCCTGATGTCTGCCAAGAACGAGCAGAAATTGAAGCTGAGAAATACCTAACATGCCCGAAGTATATACTTGCTTAATAGTGGCGTAGCCAGCCTGACGATTTTGTCCCGCTATGTAAATTCGTGTTATTATAATTATTCATGTCTTCAGAAATCTATTGTTCTCACAGTCAGTGAACACCAAAATTTTAGCATAGCGGGGCAAATCGGCAGACTGGCTACGCTACTGTTGCTTATATACAACAATTTCAGCCCTAAAAATATTCTTTCTCGGGAACATACTTGGGCATCTCGACTTGTCCTCAAAGTTTCGGTGGTTAAATATCAATAAAATTGATGATGTTTTGGACGTGGACAAACATGACTTCTGAATTGTGGGTTGCTAGAGAGCAAATTTTTATAATTCTAATACTTAAGATTTAAAAATCCAATATGCCGTACCGTATAAGAATTCAGTGGGGAATAATCAAAACAAATAAATTAGTTACACAACTCCGGTCGTATTACAAAAGTACACAAAAATTGCCTACTTTCAAAGGCTGTTAGCTGTATTATATTTTCCTTAATTGACAACAATTCGCAACCAAACTTGACAGTTTTACTAATTTTAGTAAGATCTTTCGGAAAATGTCCTTTTTTTGCCGAAGTAAGAAATTAGTCTAAAGAGTAAGTCGTCCATTGAACCATATGCAAATTTGACTTACGACACATACGTATATATGCTTGTCCGCATGTGCATGTTCACAAATTATTTATAATTTGTCTTTTCCACCAAAACTGGCTTAATAGCAAATAAGTAAAATATTTCTTGAGCATGAAACTTACATAACACCACAATGACTACAAATACTCACTGACTCACTGTGTGGCATTCTTCCGTTGTTGCCTTTTCAGTTTTACATAAAAAGAATTATCGCACTTCTCTCCAGTGCGTTCGTGGATGTTGTTATATAATTATTACTCTGTTTACTAGCTAGTAAAACCAACATTTAGCTTCGAGGTCTTGTTCATTACCTTACACAAACTCGTAGGACTAATGGAAAGAAAGTTAAATTTGTAATGGGAAAACCCCGGTGTTTTTCTTAGAATAGGAATTCCTTAAAATATCCGTTCACAAATGTGACTCTGAGTGACCATTATATTGTTGCCTAGGTTGGTTAATCGATATTTGACTTAGTTGATCAAAATTTGGTCATGAAATTACTTATCTCGTCAGAGTTTCGTTGTATATCTTAGTTTTTTATTTACACCCTGTCGCGGTTTCATAGAATAAAGTGTCTGGGAAGTTTTGACGAAGCAAAGTAGGAAAAGCTGATTAATATGAAAATACAATTGTAATGCGAAAGTAATTTAAGTAAATGTACTCTTTCTGAGAAAATATCAAACAACGTGTGGGTCGCCAGTGATTCGCCTGAACTGCAACCTCGCAGGTTCTTCTATACCTACGCCCCACGGCCCACGCTGCGGCGAAGACCCTGATTAAGGCTGCTCACGTGATTTTTTTGTTACGCTTCGCCCGTGTGGGTATGGGTAGGACACAAGTAGCGCATAAATCACATCAGTTAAAACAGCGTGTTTTTAAGGACTGAATATCGAGCGCTGTTGTATACTGCAAAGCGAAATAACCTGTGTTTTTATTGTTATTGGACCACTAAATCGCTCATCAACACCCAAATTTAGAAGATGGGACAAGCCTTCGAGTGTCTATCGAATGACGACAGAACTTGTGTGACGATACTAAAGCCGATTCTATCGACGATGATACAGTCTACACACACGGACACTTTGAATCTATATTCGGTTTATTGTGCTTTGGAGTTTTTTGCTGCGCCATACTAGCCGTATTTATTTAGTTTACATTGTGTGAACCACTGAACCGCTATTTTTAGTTGCCGCAGTACAAAGTCACCTGGACTGTTACAAGTGTAAAAATTGCAGAAGTGGTATGATATTAGATTTGCCACCCTTCTTTTGCGCTAATCAAAAATCTCTCATATTTTAGGAGATTTTGCGCTGTCACATGACCAGCCTTAACCAGGGTCTTCGCCGCAGCGTGGGCCGTGGAGCGTAGGTACTGCCTGGTCTGCGAGGTTGCCTGAACTGTTGTTTCGATCCGTTTGTTAAATATTTCGATCGTTACAACCAGAAATTAGCGACAAAATAGCTGTCGCTTGTGCTCTATTTTGCATTTCACCAGACATAATGGCCTTCAAGTAATCAAGTTTTACTATAAAAACATTGAGCGAAATCATAAAACGTGAAATCGTCGCAACCACAGACTGCGAGCACTGTGTGCCGACCTCTAGATTGATAGAGAGTGAATTGACGTGTAGATAATATACCCAGATTTTTTTTCAAGAAATTGACTTTCTTATTCCTGGTAGAAATTTTTTGTACGGTCCGGATTGTTTCGACACTCAAAAAATATTATAAGTCTGATCACGCAGTTGAACCATACGATCGCGTGATCGCGAAGCCTATGACTATACACATTATACACAGCTGAAATAGCAATGCAAGGTATACGTAATTTGTAACGAAACGGCTGTTCTATTGAATCAGAGAGCAACAAACAGTGTGTCAGGCCAACGGTGGTCAACTCTTACTATATAGAGATTACTTCATGGTTGGCGAGTGCGTACGATTTTTATGCACGAGTTGTGAAGGATCGCACTACGAACGAGTGAGCGCAGCGAACGAGTGAGTTTGCGATCCTTCGCAACGAGTGCATAATAAAAATCGTACAAACGAACCAACCTTGAAGTAATTTGTTTATTAAATGTGTATAGAGATGAATTTGAAATTCAAAACGACACGCTTTTAATATACAAAAACACAGCGAACAACAAAATCGAAATTTTATGCATGAAAACATATTTATTACCGTTCAGTTTCTTTGTAATTTTGTTCAATAGAAGTTAGACATTCTTTCCGAAAGATTTGAGATGTGCTGAATGTAAAGATATCTTGAATATGAGAATCATGTTTTGAATCTCACTCCTATATTTCGACGCCATCTTGAAAGAAAATGTAAACAAATTGCCACCAAAATGACATACGACAATTTTTCACGTGTGAAAATATCGTACGTCCAATCAAAAGCCGTGTATGGCATTTTTCCACACGTGAAAAACATCGTACGTCCAATCAAATTGCATGAAATTGATTTCACAGTGAAATACGATTTTTATTTCATTATTCTGCTGTGCATAAATCTCTATACACATATAATAAATGATTTTATTTTATAGTAAAAGTTTGGGTTAAATGCAAATCGGTATATACATGCCACATTCAGGGCGAAGCGCCATTTGTTTTTCAGGCCCGTCACGATCGCATGGTCAGATTTTCAAAGGCCGCTTCGCCCGCGTAGGTGAAGCGGACGGTAATGGAGAATCGCCTTTACTGAATAAATTATATGAATTAACACCCCCCCCCCTTCAAAAAAAGCGTTCTATTTTCTGGCAAATCAAAAGAAAGTAAATAATAATTATGATAAAACGCAAGTTCTAGTGTTTTAAGTATTACTTAAAGGGTGTCATTCTATGACGTTTTTGCTCATTATCATCTTCATTTTGAGCACCGATACTCTTTTCAATCGTATTGCCGCCTAATATATCCAATTCGTCAGCAAATATTTTGGAAAAGAAAAAATCTGCGACAAAATAACGGAATCCGTTATTTGTTACAAGAAACATCAAACCCACAACTGCTATCACTTCAGGATGTCGAGTTTCGACATTCGACTCCACGCTCAGGACCTTGTATGCAGCCACGATTGAACCAAGCAACGCGATCATAGAATTGTTCAGGGAATACATCATCAAAGCAGCTTTATAAAGCCAGTATCTGAGTTGTAGCGATTGTCCACCAGTCCAAAATCTAGACAAAAAAAACTACCATTAGAAAATCCCGTGAACTATCGGAATGCTTAGTTTGAAGACTAGCACCTGTATTCAAAAAGCTCACTCAAACTCATACTCATCGAGTGTGACATATAATTTTCGTTAATGCTGATCAATGAGAATTTTTTTCTGAATAGATGGAAAGATATAAATTAAATTACTGAAAATCAAGCCCCTGTTCGGCTGGAAATACCGCCATTGAAACTTTATGAGAAGATTAAGATCTCCCACTCAATGAGTTTGAGTGTCAGTGAGCTTTTAGGATACAGACGTAATAATTATATACTCAAACAAACAGCAAATTAATATGGAACTTGTTTTTGCATCAAAAATATAATATATATCCGGATGGAATATTACAAATATAGATATATACCTGACCAAATATGAAAGGGAGAGAACCTATATGAGTGCATTTCAATAAACTGATATGTTTATTTCTTATTAAAATGTATAAGGCAGAGCAGAGCAGAGAAGATATTAAATAAATAGGTAAATATTTCTATGTGTTTCAAATGATTAACTTTTGTATTTAGTTTTTTATTGTATAAAACCTCTCAAGATTTAATCTAATAAATCCATAGTCCATACCTTGAATTTCATTCATTCACACATTATATTATCTTCTAACTATTTCATGTTTCACATATGAAAATATTCTTTGGTAAATATATATATATATATATATATATATATATATATATATATATATATATATATATATTAATATATATATTAATATATATATTTATTATATACACAAGCGCCAGATATGAGGTATGCTGCAATTTCATTGGTTGGCTACTAGACAGATATTAGCTCATATCTGTCTAGTAGAGAAAGTAAACAAAATGACCGAAAGATTTGGGAGTTGAGTGAAATAGAAATCCAAGCTTTAGTTGATAATAGCACACCAAAATGCACCGAAAGGTTATTCTGCGAACTCGAGTCGTATATGAGTCAGCTGATATACGACTCGAGTTCGCAGAATAACTGTTAAATATATATAGATGGTACTCGGGAAGGGAAGGATTTTAGTAAGATATGACACCGAGTGGCTGCCTGCCATGGCAAGCAGAACATTCTGCTTGACCACGGCAGGATTTGAACCCACGGCCTTCGGTATACTAGTCCGATGCTCTGCCAACATATCAATATCCACCTGCTCGAGGGATTCCACAAAATATTTCCCAAAGTGATTATATCTCCCTCGGGCGAAGCGTTAAAATATTTAATACTGCAAAGCTTTCGGCCCTATTATTTTTTGGTATTTTTTTTAAATTTAATAATTATATAGTTCTATGACGGTTACCTTGGTAAAAAGTTGAGAAGAAACATCAGTATAACGTTTAAAGACTTCTCAAAGATGAATAAAATAGAAGACAGTGTCTTCCATCTTCGTGGACTTATTGTCATCACGCAGAAATCATACCCCACGACAGCCGATAACACAATAACATGTTTATAGAAATAATTTCTCTTAATCAAATGAAGAAAAACTTTTCGGATTCCGCAAAACGCTGGTGACTGGTAGACGACATGATAGATCAGAAAGATAGAGCAGAGGCAACTGCAGGATAACCAAAAACATTCAATTTGCTCAGGCGCAGAGTAGATGGTAAAGTTTTCACAAAATGTTGTCGTTCGAAACTCCCTGTGGAAACAATCAACTGCCCAGATGGTGTACAAAATGATTCCAATTAATTGACCAATAAGAAGGATCAGGAATAATAGCCATTTAACATAAGTTGGGCGAAAACGATCGCATCTGGGTGACCTTCCTTCAACAATAAATGGTTCCTGTTAAAAAAACGAGTTATAGTGCTTACGCTCTTAAAATACATTGTTATAATAATTACATAGCTGGATCTTATAATATAATTGTTAATATAGGCCGATTCTTCGTGTCATTTTACGCTCCGAAGAACAAAATGTCAACGAAATAACGCGACCATTTTGAATGCTTTAAAACGTAACTTTTCTACGATTATATACGATGTTTTAATTGATATATGTTTATGTGATGTAAGCTATATAGTGTAAAATTTAATACGGGTAAACAGACGGTAATGTAAATCTGATATGTCACACATAGTCTACCTCCTGTGATATAACCCAGGGTTCCGTGTCTTTTTTTGATGTGTGTAAATGATTAATGATTTTCATAACTGTTCACTGAAACTGTTAGACTTCCATTTGTTAATTTTGTTTGCAGATAACTCTAACATTTTCTACACTAATAATTTATCAAGGACAAATTAAGTCTTCCATCAATGACATGAAATTAAATATGTGTGCGTGGCTATGTGCAAATACGTTTTCACTGAATATAAATAAATTCAGGTTTATTACATTTCATCAATTTCATTGCAGCTAATACTCCTTAATTTTGATCAATTAATCAATAAGCTAATGTCCAATTAATGGCGATTAAAAATCACTCTATGAACTTCATCGTGTTCAAACACATTTTCGCGTCTTTTTAATATTGTAAAATGCGATGTGTAAATAAAATCTTTTAAAATGATTATATTGTTGCTCAGGTTAGTTAATCGATGTTTGAATTTGTTGATCAAAATTTCGCCATGAAATTACTTATCTCGCGTCAAGGTTTCGTTGTATCCGTTTAGTGTTTCATTTACACCCTGCCGCAATTTCATAGAAAAACGTGTCTGGGAAGTTTTGACAGAGCAAAGTAGGAAAAATTAATATGAAGATATAATTATGCAATTCGAAAGTAATTTAAGTAAATGTACTCTTTCTGGGAAAATCTCAAACAGCGCGCGTGGCTCGCCAGTGATTCGCCTGAACTGTTGTTTCGATCCGTTTGTTAAATACTTCAGTCGCTATTACCAGAAGTTAGCGATCAAATTTTACTATAAAAACCATAGGCAGCCCAATGGCGACTCGCGTGCCTGACAGTGTTGACCTGACAGGTCACAACAGCGAGAACAAAAACAGCCAATCAGATTACGTATTCGTCATTTGCAAACGTTCTCAAAAGTCAACAGCGCGGGTCCAGCATCGTCCCATTAAAAAAATGAGTAAAATATTACTTTTTACTTTTCGCATATTTTTCGCTTCCATAATTTGTTTTCAATATTGAAATATAGCCAGTATATAGTAAAATTATCGTAGATTTCATTTCTGTTGTTATTTTAGCTTAGTTGTAGAGATAAATCGACGTATTTTCGGATTGTTTGCATGTGTCCATGTCGATATCGGGATTGAAGTTGCCTACCTTAGGATGTATATATACTATATAATGCCTACATTGCCTGAACACTAGCGCTGTCATGCAGGCACGCGAGTCACCATTGGGCTGCCTATGATAAAAACATTGAGTGAAATAATAAAACGTGAAATCGTCGCAAGCACAGACTTTGTTTGCCGACCTCTACATTCATAGTGGATGAATTGCATGACGTGAAAATAATATACCGAGAAATTTTTTCCAAGAAATTGGCTTTCGTATTCCTGGTAGAAATTTCGTACGGTCCAAATTGTTTCCACACTCAGCAAATATTATAAGTCTGATCACGCAGTTAAATATATCTGATCACGTCATCGCGAAGCCTATATATGAGATTATACACATTATACACAGAAATACCCATGCAAAGTATAAGTAATTTGATAATCAAAACGTTGCGAAACGGCTGCTCTATATAATCAGAGGGCAACAAACAGTGTGCGAGATCCAGGCAACTGTGATTTTAGGTTTTTACTCTTACTTTATGATTTTATTTGATAGTAAAAGTTGGGCCGGTGAAATTTAAATCGAAATTTCTGGTAATTAATGAATTTGGGTAAGCTTTCGCAGTTAATGAAACCCCGTTTACACTACACTCAATTTATTGGCACGGCACAGCTAATATGGATACAAATGCCCAATTTTATTAATGATCAGCCTAACAAAACAAACACCGGGCTCGGATGAAATATGCACGGGTACCCAATTTAGCCGCGTGCTGTGCCGCGAGTGAATTGTAAACGGGACTTCAATATGATTTACCCGGGCAATTAAGTAAAATATTTCACATACGGGAAACATAACACCACAGAGTCTCAAAATATACTCACTCTATCACTCTCCTCCATTCTTCGGATTTCTTTAAATTTCTTTTAGCACGAAAGGAAATATTTTATCGCCGTTTTCTTCAGTCGGTTTATCGATGTTCTTTATTATATGTTACGCTGTTTAGCGAGTAAAAAACACATTTAGCTTCGAGCATTAGCATTACGTGAAATGAATACTAAAAAAGTCAAATTTGTAATGGGAAAACCCCGATGTTTCTGAGGAACGGGTATTTCCTACAATATCCGCCCTCAGCTGTTCATCGAAAGGTGGTCTTGAAATTAGTGAAATTACCCATCTCGTTATAGTTCGTTATATAGATTGGTGCTTGATTTTCATATATAGATGGCTAACAAAGTATTTTGAAGTTTAGAACTTTACAGGGCCTTTTCCGTCATACCTGCACACTTTGTTTTCATGGTAATGGGACTTTAGGAGGTCTAGCAGTCAAATTATTTTTTTCTTCATTTTATCTAGTTTGCAAATATTCATAAATTAACGTAAACTGAATACAAGAGAGCAATGAAAAAATAGAATAAACTAATCAACCCCTTTAACTTGCCTTTAGAATTTTTTGATATAAAAAATATTTGTGAATGTAACAATAAATTTAAACAAAAAATTAAAATTTAAATGTAGCTAAATGACCCCATTTGGACAGCGACTTAAATCTCTGCCTTTAAGACTGACCTTCGCTTTTATACGAAAATTCTAAAGCCTTTGGATGCGTAAAATATTGTCAGCTTTGTTCCTATATTACATATATTTGTCACAAGCACAAACGTTTTTCTGCTCCTGGAAATTTGACATAATTAACTTCCAATTAAAGCAAATTGCTGCACAATAATGCACCGAATGACATCTCCAAACTAAGGGGACGATTACATGGGCTAGCCCGCTTTCCCGGGTTGAAATTTAGTAAACGATTATTTGAGTAATTTTTGCGAATTTAGCAAACGAAGAAAATTTAGTAAACGCAGAAGCCATTGTTGTTTATACATGTGTTTACACTGCGCGTGCGTTGACTAATTCCCAGCCGGTTTGCCGGGCTGTAACGATTACATGCGAAATTTTAGCACGGCAAGACGGGCTAGCTCGGTTGACAATACCGGGCCAGCTTGGCAAGCCGGGATGAAAGTTCGTATGTAACCGAAACGTCAAAAAATTGCTTGCGATAATATAGGAAACTTGCTAGCCCGTCTGGCAAGGCGGACCGGTCCATGTAATCGGCTCCTAAAACCTCCCGTGAGCAACGAATGCAATATTTTGAACCCATTACTTCATAAGTCTGTACACAAATGTTTACAACTATTAGTTTGAATTTATATATTTTAAGTTCTAATGACAATTCTCTCCTTCATAATTGTTCTCTTTTGTAATTGCAATACATACATTGATCGGCATAAGCTGCAAATCGCTTCATGTTTATACAGGAAGTTGAAGTATTTGAAGTAAAGCGTCACATGATCATTAATCATTTCGCAATCATTAAGTTCAGTCGTCTTCACATGCAGATTGTGTAACAAATGCATGTAACAAACAAGCTTAAGTTTCGCCGAATGTTGCTGTGAAAATCACTGGTAAGTTTCTTTTAAGGTTTGTTCTTTCTCTTAGACAACTGTGAAATGCGATATTACACGAAATCAACGCCACTGCCAGGCAAATTGGTCCGTATGATTTGCTTGAAGCTTCGATATTATTCGCTTCCGAGTGTCGTGTTCAAAATGCGAACAAAGATGAACGAGGAATTTTTACGAGAGAACAAATGGATCCACTCTGAGTTTGTCTAATCTCGTAAGAGCTCAGTTTCAACGAGTAAATGTTTCGATCACCAAGAGCTTCTAGCGAGTTCCTTCGCGAACGAACTACAATAAACTTGGCTTCTTTGAATACAACCAGACGCCTGCTCTGGCGTTAAGTTCGTGGCGCCTGCCAGCTTTTCAATACAAAGCTTCTGAACACTAAAGATCATATTCATATTCATATGCAAGCGTTAACTAACTTATACTAGCGTGTAATATGTGTAATGTGTTCGTGAATGTAAATGTTCGTGTTGTGTTGGTGCTTGAATGTTAATTCGTGTTCTTCTTCAATTGTGTGTGACGTGTCAACGCGCCGTACGCGAACATATCTTTAAAAGGTGAAATAGCTTATAGATATGCGGGATATTCCTGTCAATTTTATTAAAATAGAACCAAAATGGCAAAATCTATGTGTATTAAATATATTCTTACCCCAATTAAACCTAAACATAATCGAAAAGCATTAAAACAACGCGTGAAGGAGTTCCCGTTTCCTGTGAGAAAAATCAAAACGCGCATCGGAAAATTGACCTAAGATTCGATAGTTGTGCATCACAACTATTCCGAGACAAAACTAATGTAGGTAGATACAATGAAATACGATTTTCATCGAGCGTGTGGTCGTATGTCCGCCCAAGCTCTGTGTACAAATTAGCCGAAGGCTTTGTATTTTGAAATATATTTCACACCAATTGCAAAATCTCCTTCCCCCGATAGATTGCGGGCTCTGGTTTCGAGATTGTTGCAAAACACACTTGCGACGACGAAAAATAATAAAATTCCTTCTCCACGGATCGGGATTGTAATAATTCGAAATTTGTTGTTTAAATGAAAATTAATGCGCATGCCCAGTAGTGAGATATGGGCTGACAATATATTTTCAAAATGCCGCGTAAAGCATTAGGAAACAATGCCAAATACGTCATAATCATTAAGCGGTAACCTACTTTAAACTTTTGTCCATGTTTTGTGATATTAAGTACGTATGCATATATACCACATTACGTATAATTTTATATGAGATCCAGATGAAAAACGAATTCTACGTATAAATATTAATTTTTTCGATTTTCATTATATAAACAACAATTTATCTTGTCAATGAATATATATGCACCAAGCATGTATATTAAAAGCTTCAGTATAGCATAAAATATATGTTATTTACCGGCTGCAAGGTCCGGATAGAAAAAATATTTTCCCGGGGTATCAAAAATGACGCAGACCGAGTCAAAGTGTAGTCAGGCTCAGTAATGGCGACAAAAACATAAACAATCAAAACCTCAATAATATTCGTTTAATTTACTAAAATTTATCGTGACAATCATTTGGCCCACAATTAAAAAAAAAGTCAAAAATTTGCGAATAAATCTTTAGAAAAACCAACTTCGCTCGAGTATAAAATATAGGATTCCGGACCGTGGTCAGATATCGTAAAATTCCGCCCGCTGCTACAGCCAATCAAATTGCAGGAAAGGCTGGGATTTCGCCCGCTGCTGATTTGTAATACCATAGACAATCCAAAAGACAGGGACTGGAAACGCTATCTAAAACACTTATAATGCTGACGCGTCATCCGTGATATGGCTTTATCACGTAAATTTTTACGTTGCCAGGCAACCGGGCTCTTTATTCAGAAAAAATAATGCAAAGTAGATCCATCAAAAGTTTGAGTGTAAACAGTGATCATAATTCCAGTTCCAGAAGTGTTTGCATCAAAAATATACGCACGTAAAAATTAGATAGTTTTTTGGGACCCGGTAACTTGAAACCAAAGCCATAAATTTTCTTTGACCGCATACAAATAGCACTTTATATTACACAAGAATGCATTAGGACAGCGACTGCAACTTGTAACTACATGCAGACTAGTGTGTCAGCCCGACAGTAAGAACCCTTTTCAGTTCCAACCACAAAAGGATCGCCATGTATGCACTATTAATTTGTACACTGTAACTACAATTTTGATAAATTGAGCAACTTTGCCTTACATTGTGTAAACAAAATAATACAGGGTATATATCTATTACCCTTTTCAGCCTCTTTTTGCGCTTGAAAAGCTAAGAATCGCCAATAACTGCATGCGTCGTGTTTTGATGTTAAAATGTCACTTTTTTGTTCTCGTAAAATATGTACCTAGTTGGGACCCTATAAAATCACTTCGACACAATTTGTGCCAAAGTTGTCTCTATAAAAGGTTTCGGCTACAAAAGACTATATATAGGTCTTTAAAGGACTGAGAGGTTTTGAGGTTGAGGTTTTGCGTTTTATGCACATATTAGAACCCAGTCATTAACGAAACTCTAACCACCCTGGAAAATTATTTTCAATGCGGTGCTAATTTCATTAAAACATGTTTAGAATATAAATGCATTAATTTTCTCTGTGTAAGTTCAGGTTACATCAGAACACAATTTAACAATCCTAAAATAAATGTTTATTTATTTATTTATTTATTTTTATCAATAGATTCTTCGAGTGGTTACTAGTTTCTTCGAGAGGTTACCCTGTCTGGAGATCTACTAAAAGAAACCAAATTCCATTGTATTAATTTTCTAAAACATATCAACGATATTGTGATTAATTTGGGGGGTGTTTATTCATATATTCAATTCTACCCGAAGGATTTTCTTTGTATGCTATTGCACTCACAAAAGAAATCCCCCGGGCAGAACTGCATATATGAATAATCACACCCCCAATTATCCTCCCAGTTTCGGCCCTGACCACTGGGTCGAGACATTCCTGCTCCTGATTCGATTCTTCGAACGCGAGAATGACGTCATTCATGATTATAGCAGCGCAGCCTCTCTTTTTGTAAATCATGGATGGAAGTCTCTCTCTTCGCCCAGTCTCAGTGTCATACATGATGACGTCATTTAATGCCTGATCATTCTTATCCTAACCGCCAATAACGATAATCATATAAGTCCGAGGGACTGTTGTTCGTATGACGCTGTGGAGGTGGGAAGTTGATCTCGTTTGTCTGTGTAGACAGGTGTTGCAGGTAAGAAATAATGTATTCCGTGTATTATATTACTATTATTACCATTGTGCACTGCATGACTGTTCTAGTTACAAAAGGGTGTTAAACACAGCTGAGCTAAAAGAATTCTAGTAGTGATAATCATAGAGCTAGAGTCAGTTGCCGGAATGAGCCCTAGAACCGCGCAGTGAACTCAAATAAGATTGAAACAACACTAGCTCTTTGACTTTCCCTCATTAATGAGCGAAGCCAAGATGGCGGAACATGAAGCCTTTCTTGTACGATCTAAGCCTCTGGCGCAGAAATTTCAAAGGTAAAATTAAAATATCTACGAAATTTCCGCGTTCAGGCCTGGACCATACCTACACGAAAGGCTTCATATTCCGCCATCTTGGCTTCAAATTTTCGCACAGCTAGCGTTCCAGTTCACTAGAACCGCGTCAAGCCTTGATTCGGACCTCAAATTAGATTCATGTACGATAAGGCTTGGAGCATAGTTCGGCTTTGATTAAGACCATATCAAGATTAAGTTAAAAAATTGGAACTGGATAATGTATTGACCAAACCTCGCTATTTCCTACAAATTAATCCAGCTTTCAATTTGGTTACTTTGAAAGTAGATTTAGACGTAATCTATTCTGTTCCTTTTCTCAACAGGAATCAAACGATCCCAGTGCCAAAGATCATATTCGTGCAAGGTTATCACGTGACTCATTTTCAAGAAGTCAGCGATTATCTACTTTGTTTCATTTGTCAGGAAATTCCAAAGGATTCAGACTACCAACACAGAGATCATGTATTTTGTTTCACTCGTATATCACGACATCTTCTCTCCTCTAACGAGGATCAGCAGAGATCCTCTGATGCAGGAAACTTTTGGATGACCGAAAGATTTTCTCGGGGTAAGATTCCGGAGTTGAAATCAACTTTATTCCCTGGTATTAAAAGTTTTTAAATAAAAAAGAATTTCCCTAATCAGTCATATTTTTTTCACAAAAATGATAACTTAGTTGCGAAATATTCACGAACATGTAATTGCTTTTAATTAGCCTTATATATCTTTGTCCGGAGGTGAATAATTATACTGTAGAACTATTAAGATAGGTACAAGAATTAAAGTCTGGCAAGACATAAAAATAAAACGTCAATTACCTATCAGACGAAAATTGTCCTCATTTTACTACATCTCAACGAAATACCATTATTTTGGTTCACCTCGGAGAAAATTGTTTGTATAGTCTGTCCCAAAAATTTTATCTCGTATTGGATTTTGCCTTTCTTTAAAACGACATAAATTCTCGCGTGTATTCATAAATCATCCTTCGTAGAGAATTCCCGTGGTTGATTTTCAGCATAATTCATAATGCATGCAGCAAATCTCGCCGCTTGAGAATTCTTCTTAAATCTTAGTAAAGTAAATATTACATGCCTAGTTTTAACTACTGCTTTGTAACCTAGTTTCAAATACCGTTTTAACGGAGTAGTTTATCATACAACCGAGGTTGATTTTCAGGATAATACATACAATGGATGCAGCAAAAATCTCTACTTGTGCATTCATCTTAACGTCATTGTAAATAAAATATTACATGCGATAAATCATTACTAACACGAGTTTTGAGTACCAACTGTTTGTCTTTCATTTGCGATTATTAATAAACCTCAGAGGTGCTAATTATTTTCTTACACGGAACCTGCTTACTCTCCGCGGGGCCTACACCTTAACTCGGCGCAAAACATTTTTATCGGTAACGTTGCGGATAGGAATTTAAACTTCGGCAACATTATGCATAATCGACCAATCAACGAGGCTAAAGGAAATTTACTTCCAATTTAGGAAATTGATGATGATGAGCCAAGAATTTCAAGGAATAATTCAAGCATGAATGGTGCTAGCGCTTTGGATTACACAGGTTCAGTTAACAATGAAGATATTAGACAATATTCGTGGTTTGTTTGGCCCAGGATACGACAAGGTATTAAATTCTCTCGAGAAATATGGCATGGGAGAAAAGAAGTCAACTCCGTTGACACAGTTAAATCATACTCGAGGAGCATCAGCATCACGTGTTTACAACAATGATATCCTTGTCGTTGGTGGTAACCACGGCAACGAAAGAAGTGACAAGATCGTAGTTTTGAAGATGAACCAACAGCCTTTGCGATGGACAATGTTTTGGTGCTTAACGGACAGTCAAATCAAATACTCATGACGTCATAGCTTTTTAAAGAAAATGATATATATAATGGTAGGATATGATTCGAATGAAAGAAAAACATTGAATGCCATTGATGAGATTGCTCCTACCTCACCTTATACTGCAAAGCCACTGACGACAATGACTGAGCCACAAAGCACAACTTGTTAATGAAAAATATTTTCTTCGGTGTAACAACGACTAGGTCGGATATTAGTCCATCGTTTAATCAGCCTGTTAGTGACATTTCCGCAGTCACTTGAGCTAATATGATCATTGTTTTGGTGGTGAGGATAAGAGTGATCAGACAATAAATGACGTCATCAGTATGGACACGGAGACTGGTCGAAGTGAGAGACTTCGACCCATGATTTACAAAAGGAGCGGCTGCTCTGCTGTCATCATAAATGACATGATGTCTCAACTCAGTGGGATCTTTCACAGGTTATGCCTGTAAAGAACTGCCAGGAATAATACGAAAGAGAAATCTTGAACCTGCAGTGAAAGCGTAGATAAGGTACCAAGGATTACTCCTTCCATTGTCCGAATGAATAAAACTGTGTTCCGGCCTGCTTGACCCGAAGGGGGTATTATCAAATATTTTGACGGTCAAACAAAAAAAATGTGTACCAATAATTTGAACCGTAGAAAACTCTTAAGACCATTAAATCTGCGACATGGAAGCATAATAAAGATCACTTGACACGGACAAAGTAACAAGCAATGAATTATTGTCCATCAACTATCGATACAAGATATGAATAAAATATTATATTTACTCAAGTTGCGGAGCAAAATAAGAGCCTGTTAGCCAAAGTGATCTTTGAAATACATGTTAAGAGTCTGCGATGATTACTGGGATGATGAATAATTAAATACAACGTCATATAAACGCCAAAGAATCAGACTGTCTCATTTAGCCCCACTGTCTCATTTTTGCCCTGCATTACCCTATTTTTGCTCCAAAAACAATATAAGCCAGCTATTTATACCATCACAATATATTAAAACAGTTTTGATTTCTCTAATAAACTTCTATAAAGAAACTTTGCATAAATTGAGTACTGGGAATGAAATTTTTTAACATAATGGTCACAAAACGCTGAAAATGCCATTTTTAAAGGGAAATTGCAATATATTGTTTTTGTTTTCTCACTTGAAAGAACTTTGAAAACTGTATTTGTGACCTTCCACGGGAAAACGTACGTTAACGCTATTTCGTTCGTTCAAAAATATCGTTCGTTATCCGTTCGTTTGCCGTTCAAACGCTTCAAGCGTTCGTTGAAACGATTTTTGAGATCGTTCATCGTTCGAAATTGCCCGTTCGAACGCTTGGTAAAAAACGTTTGAAAAATGGTCCAAAAGCGTTCAACCGTTTGACTGACCGTTCGTTGAAACGTTTGCCGGAATTTCGTTCAATCGCATTGGATTTGGTTCAACATATTAGATTAAACATTTGCAATGTTACAACTTTATAGAAGAAGCGCAGAATGTGTTACACAGAAATACTCCCAGAAACGTATTCAGTTCCTTAGTAGAAGGCTTGTAAAGGAAATAGTGGGGTTATATCATTTTAGCCCAATCGAATGCTATTTTGTGCGCTTCATGTTATGGTTGATGCTTAGCGTCATACAGACATGAAGGCTATTAACATTCAGTGCATGCAATTATTTCATTAGCGTCAAATTTCACGTCGTAAGCTTTCTTTCAAAAATTTATCGTTTTTTGAATTTCGGTAATGCACTAAATGGTTAGAATTTGTGCTTTACTATACTTCTGTAGCTTCCATAAGCCAAATTTCACCGCGCGCACAAACAACGTCGCAAGCCATAATAGAGGGTGAGTCAAAAAAAACGGACACCTTTGAAATTCAAATTAGCCGGATAGCGCCTGTAATGTGACAGAAGCATATCATATTAATTAAGAGACTTGATCTGGCATAAATATAACTCATATGCATTGTAAATATTTATTTAGATTCTTAATTCACAAAAAATTGCTTTATATATATTGATATATATGGACATTTCAGCACAATTCACTTTCCATGTATATTTTGGTTGTAATTTGATTTCTCTCGACTAGCTCCTGGAATCGGAAACGTGGAACGCGGAAAAGGCTCAAATCGTACAAATGATAGAGACTTTATGAAAGTAATGAACCTTTATGAATGATGTTCATTGTTTGACATTGTTTATTACAATAAAAAAAACAAGAGTGTCGCACAATGAACATCATAATATTGCTCAGGGAAATTTAGCCTATAGGCTTTGTTAATGCACAAAATATCATCTGGTCAACATAATTAGAGCCGTGGCCCGTGTGACAAATATAACAAACCAGAAATTGTAATCTATATCATACCATTTAAGTTTTGTTGATATTAAACTAGCATAAACCATCAAAGACGCCGTCTACAAATCCCGTGTTTTGTGAGATTGAGTTTAGCGCTATGTTCTAACCAAGTGCGTGCAAGCCCAAGGGCAAGTTGCCAAGTTAACGTGTACAAACATTTAAGTTTGACCTTTCGGACATTTCGCTTATATATATTTCGCTATATTTCATCAGAAAACGAACATTAGAATTTATCTTGCTTGGACAATATATCAGCTGCTCGGGCAACAGGAAAATATTCACTAATTTTGATTTGGGCTCCTTTATTAGGAAATTACATTCCGGATATTAAATTGCAATCATGCATGGTCATTGCACCTTGAAGGCTGAAGCAGCGTTCTCACTTTTAAGGAAATTTCCTTAAACTAAGGAAATTTTGATCTTATTTCACCTTCTTAAGGAATTGTTTGAGGGTTTTTAAGGAATTGTTTGAGTTTTAACTAATACAAAGCCAAAACAATTTTCCCGCCTTTTTAGTAAACTACACTAGGTCCCAGGCTTCATATCTGGGAACCCGGAGACTTAAGGAAATAGTCTAAGGATTTCTAAACAATAGGATGTGAGAGCCCTGGGCTGAAGCCTGACAGCTAGAGCGGCAAAATGAACAAATTTGAAATGGCGCCTATCAACTGTTTATGCGTATATGAGCGCGCGGGTAAAGATCTTGAACAGTAATTTCGCGAAGACTAAACAAAATATTTGCTGGATATATTAACATCTATCGGGAAGTCAAGGCGTTTTAACACGTGCATATAAAGGTATGAAGTATGAACACTATACGAAACATTAGCTATAATATACAATACAATACAATAAATTTTATTTAAACACGATGCAAATTAAAGCAAAGCTTGTGGGGTCGTGTATATAAGACTATTCATAACAGGGCATACTTTATTAGGCGCGCTTGCAATTATTTCCTCCCAGCATTGAAATCCGGCTTATCGATGAAATCATAAACAGAATTCGTATTACGGTTGGCTCGATTTAAAGTTTTTTTTTCCTTGAGTGCGT